CCAGACTGGGATTGGAACCCGAGACCTCCAATCACAATACACTCCGCTCTAACCTACTGAGTATAAAAATAAAACTGGGCCAGACTGGGATTGGAACCCTAGACCTCCAATCACAATACACTCCGCTCTAACCTACTGAGTATAAAAATAAAACTGGGCCAGACTGGGATTGGAACCCTAGACCTCCAATCACAATACACTCCGCTCTAACCTACTGAGTATAAAAATAAAACTGGGCCAGACTGGGATTGGAACCCTAGACCTCCAATCACAATACACTCCGCTCTAACCTACTGAGTATAAAAATAAAACTGGGCCAGACTGGGATTGGAACCCTAGACCTCCAATCACAATACACTCCGCTCTAACCTACTGAGTATAAAAATAAAACTGGGCCAGACTGGGATTGGAACCTTATATATAGACCTCCAATCATAATACACTCTGCTCAAACCTACTGAGCTACCTGATCAGTAGTAGGTCTTGACCCAGACCCACTACAGTTACATCCAAACTAAAATAAGGGGAGGTAACTATATGTAAGGGGAGGTAACTATATGTAAGGGGAGGTAACTATATGTATGACAAAACTATAAGGAAATTCGCTAGTGCTTTGCAATTGTCTGCAGCAGAACACTGGGATCCTTAATGTAAAAAAAACCTGATATTAGTCACAGTCACTGTGATATTGTGATGAGGCTCTTCGATACTGACCGCAAGACAAATAAAAGACTTACTTAGATATCCAAAGAATACAGCCCATTTGAAGTCCTTCTGCTTTTTCATATCATTTTGAAAAGTTGGAAAAGCAGGATGTCCTCCGAAGGCAAACACTATAGTTCCGAAAGCAGTGAAGAAATCGAGGAATTTGATTTCCTGGTGAACTACAGGTTTACCGTCCAGATCCTCGGATTCCAGACCAATGTTTGTGATGAGGATGACACATGCTATAGTGGTTGCTATGGTAGCTCCCACTGCCACCTGCCTGTAATTAAAATCGATGAATTTGAAATTTGAAAATGTTCAAATAAAGAAATTGTTAAACAAACAGATTCAATAAAGCAGATATAGGAACTAGAGAGGATCGACAAATTTATTACAACAAAGGAGTGTTTCAATATAAAGCTCCAAGTCAACCTCTGTCCACACGAAATATTAGGCCACACGATCATGAAACAAACTCAGACTTAAGTCTTTGCTTAGCAAATCACTACGACATCTCTTTTCAGTGGGTTATTATTGCGATTGGTTAAGTGAAAACCTAAGACAATTTTAGACTTAAAACCCTTTCACCACTGTAGAGCATAATGGACTCATCCATATCAATGCATGGTAGAGTCTACTAAAGATACATAGGGGTGAAAGGGTTAAGATCATTCCATGCTATCAGCAAGGTTACATATGCATTCAACATTGAACTCACGCACTTAATACTTTTAAAAGTTGTAAACTATTTAACATTAGACCTCGGAGCTCAATTACAAGCAGATACTTCGCAAATACTTCACAGATAATATGCAAAATCTTTGCAGATAATTTACAAATACTTAACCCTTTCACCACTGTAGACCATAATGGACTCAACCATATGAATACATGGTAGAGTCTACTAAAGATGCATAGGGGTGAAAGGGTTAAAACATGTTTGCGGATACTAAATGTCAAACTTTTTCGAGTCTCCAAAATAATGAGATATAAATCAAATGAAGTCATTCAAACCCTGCTACACTTAGTTGTCATCAAGTTTTGGTATTGTTTGGTACACTGTTTTGGGTTTTTAAAAAACCCTCCACCCAAAAAGATGACGATCGAGGGATCGACCTACATGCATACCTCGGGCATTATTTCTTATGAACATTTGCACCATCAATTCTAACATCAACATGCTACTGACACATGTGCCTACAGTGTTACTACCACACAAATGATTCTATAAAGTGAACAAGTGGTCAAATAGCAAAATCTGCAAACAATTCTATATTTAGCAGAGTTATCTCCCTTCCTTGTCAAACTTCAGAGTTATCTCCCTTCCTTGTTAAACTTGAATATGATAATACATCTTAAGTCTTTAAAAATAAAATATTTTTTTGTTGGACATGCCCCATTCCCACAGAAGTTTCCTTAGTTAATGTTTGACATTTCTATAAATAGCAATGATGACCTTTGCTGTGACCTTGAAACCCTGAAATACATATCCAAACAAAGTTTCCTCAACTTTAATCTTTTTATATTTTATGTGACACAACAGGATGATGTGACAGATATGGATAACACTATATCACAACCCCACCCCTCCAAATAAAATTAATTGGGCATAAAATTTGAGCACTTACCATTATATAATTTAGTAGAGTTATCTCCCTCCACTGACCAATTTTCAATCTTCATATTCAACTTCAGTAAATATAATGGGAATACTTAGTTTAACTATGAGATAATATGGACAAATTGATTAAGGTCAAGAAAACTCACCAGAAGTCTTGAGGTGTCCCGAGCCAAGTGACCGGGGTCAAGATTACAGCCAGTATGATGCACCATACGCAGAAACTAAGATCCCAGCCGACGTCTTTGAAAAGGGATTCAACGTTCTCCGAAGCCAACAGCAGAAACACAGTTCCTACTCCAAACAGGGTGAAGTTGATAGAAAAGTTCACTAACTGTCTGAAATCACACATAATTAGACACACTCAGTTTTTAGGAAAAACATCTTAATTTCATAACCTTCGGCCACAGAAAATCCGGGTGGTCCAGGTATTGGCCATTTTTAACAATTTGTAGTCAGTACAAAAAAAATAGGATCAGCCTTGCTATGTGAAATTAGTAAAAATAGGATTTGTCAATTTGAGTTTTTGAGTGTACAAGGGCCCCATAGCGTCTCAAGAATTATCCCTGCCAGTATTTTTATTTCAAAGAGGTACACTGTATAAGCTTATATTTTTGAAGATATATTTTTGTGAGAAATATGATTTTGCATTAAATGTAAGTCAAGATAATAACATTTAGTTGGTCATTTTCACTGGCTATAACTCTCATGAACCTTTGAGCAACCGGGGCTTGATTTTGAGATAATCTCCAGAAATGAAAGTAAAGATGTTAAACAGAGAAATAGACACCAATTATTTTATTACTCTGTAGGGCATTTCTGATGTTTGTGCCTAACAAAACCTTACAGGATGAGACTGCAAGGAAAATGATAAATAATTGGAAGACAGAAATAATACAGGAAAACAAAAATGGAATTTTGATAATTATTTAAAAAAAAAAAATTAACCTGCTGATGAATCCCAAAATGAAACCTTCGTGAATATGGTTTGGATACAAAATTTGCAGCTTTTTAAGTCAAATGGACATACATCTCAGGGTTTTTGCCAGCTATTTTGGTAAAGGACCCCTGAGGAGGACTTGGGGGAAAATATCATCGGCATTTGGCCAAAATTGGGAAATATCATCAGTGTTCCCACATCATGCACAGGTTCAAAAAAATATCATAGGTTTTGAGAAATAAAACCTACAATGTGATTTGCAAAAGTTTTCCTCTACATGTAGCTGTTTCTTACAGTAAAATGTGTAGCAATAAATAAACACATCAATTTTCAGTGATTTTGTTTATTCAATTTCAAATTTCCGTCATGGATGGTAATACTTTGAACGTTGCACATATAACGACTTGAAACTTGTATAAACATGCTCTTTTTTTTTTTATCTCATTGTGAAAATAAATACTGAAATTGGGAAAATACAGTCATTTTTGAATTTGGAATTGGTCCCCGTACTGGACCTATAAATACTTGGCAAAAACCCTGCATCTATACCTGTTACTGTCCACTTACTTCAAAAAAAAACATTAGCTGAATGAAGTATAAAGGAAATAAAGAAATTTGCAATTTACAAAAATGTGTTGATTCAATTCCTGAAGTTTTTGAATTCTAAATAACAGTTACACCTGTTCACGAGACTACCTCTTTTTATTGACAACCTCTATTCAGAGACCACCTCTATTTACAGACCAGCTCTATTTACAGACTATCTCTATTTAGAGACAACCTCTATTTACAGACCACCTCTATTTAGAGACCACCTCTATTTTGAGACAACCTCTATTTACAGACAACCTCTATTTAGAGACAACCTCTATTTAGAGACCACCTCTATTTACAGACCAGCTCTATATACAGACCACCTCTATTTACAGACAACCTCTATTTAGAAACCACATCTATTTAGAAACCATCTCTATTTAGAGACCACCTCTATTTACAGACCACATATATGTAGAGACAGCCTTTATTTACAGACCACCTCTATTTACAGACCAATGCTATTTACAGACCACCTATATTTAGAGACCGCATCTATTTAAAAACTATCTCTATTTAGAGACAACCTCTATTTACAGACCACCTCTATTTAGAGACCACTCCGCCATTGCAAGTTATTTCTGTTAATTGAACCTGTATTACAAGACCACCTACTATAAAAAAACACTTTATTGATCTCCTTAAGGTGGAGATTGATAAAAGTTCTACAGAGTCATGATGTAAAAAAACCTGTTACATTGAAATCCTCTACAACAAAATACTTTGAAAAACTCCCAAAAAATATATATTTGGATGTAAAAGGAATATTACTTTCGCCTCAGTGAAGTGTATTTTTTGTTTCAATAAGTGGGTCAGAATTATGATATCACATTTACCTGCCCCACTTCCCGTAAGCCTTTTCCCCGATGAGAGGATAGGGGTCTGGGACATGTCCGCGGCAGTCTTTGAACCTATGTGAGGCGATAATCCACGATTTACCGAGGATGTGACCGGTGTAGGCGGACAGGAAACTGCAAGCTGTAATTATCACTAGCCCAATCCAGCCTGTAAAACAAGGACAGCGGTCAAACGATGAACTTATAATATTAAAATAGAGTGAAATATAATATATTTTCATAAACATGTTCTACAAAATGTACATTCAATGTCCATCATACTTGCATGCCAACTTTTTTTAATTTTCATGGGGAAATGTACTCAAAATCAAAAACATAATCAAATGTGTCTATATACAGTCCCTAGGGGGAATATGTGTCACTTTTAAATTGCAACTTTTGAGTTGTCCTTTCAGATAAAATCATCAGATCTTAAAAAATAGAAATAGTTTAGTACATTCACTGGTTGAAAATGCTCAATTGAAGGGTCAAATATCGGTAGTCTCCCTCAAGAGGGAGAGATAGCAAGCATGGCCCTTTTGTTAGGGAAACACAATTTTTTATTTTACGAGATAAATCATGTAATCATGATTACTGGGTAATGAAGGAAAACAACCAAGTGTGTTTCTCTAATGAAATAGAACAATAACACGAAAGTGAAGACAATCAGGTTTCGGGCAATTGCTGTCATCAGCTTCAATCATACAGAATTAAGGTGTGATAATCCGCAATTTTTCTAGAAAAGCTACGAATAAGGGAAATATGACAGGGGAAACTCAAGCGTGAGGGTAACATATGTTTTATCTACCTGTCATGTGATCAATTTAATCCAATCAGACATGCTGTTATAAAGACAGGCATAATGATATAATGTAGTATGTATGCCCCCCCCCCCCCCTATTACCACACAAATGGACAGACAGGGGTGACACTATATGCCCCCTTTTTCATGAAGAGAAAATAAAATGAGGGAGAATAAATTTAATACATGCAAATTTTGTTGAAATTTTCACAAGAAGGCGAATATTGGGAAGGATGAAAATACATGTAATATTATTCACAAACCTGTATCCTCCACAGCCTTAGGCAGAGCCAACACTCCTGATCCGGCGATTTCCCCGACGATAAAGAAGGCGGCTTTAGGTATGGAGAGGCCACTGTGACCACCGTGGCCAGATGGCACTACCACCTGTCAATCAAATCACAATTCCAGAGTAACACACTTCATGATGATTATACAAGAAAAGAAAAAACAACCTGTCTTAGGATAGGCTGAAAGTCCCATTCAGAACATACCTATCAGACTGCGGGATGGGTTATTTCATACTTATTTGTGAGGATCAAATTGTGACTCCCAATACACCTCTCAGTAACAGAGAGGTCATTTGTGAGTTTGTAAACACCTCCCCCCTCATACACCTCTCTGTGGGAGAGGGGTAATTGTGGGTCCCTCAGACCCCCCTATAACTTTCAGTGGAGAGGGGTCATTTGTGAGTTTGTAAACACCACCCCCCCTCATACACCTCTCTGTGGGAGAGGGGAAATTGTGAAGGAAGTGACCCCGCTATAACTTTCAGTGGAGAGGGGTCGTTTGTGAGTTTGTAAACACCTCCTCCCTCATACACCTCTCTGTGGGAGAGGGGTAATTGTGAGTTTGTGAACCCCTCCCCCTAATACACCTGTCTGTGAGAGAGGGGTAATTGTGGGTCACTCAGACCCCCCTATAACTCTCAGTGGGGAGGGGTCGTTTGTGAGTTTGTGAACCCCCCCCCCCCCTCCCCTCATACACCTCTCTGTGGGAGAGGGGTAATTGTGAAGGAAGTGACCCCGCTATAACTTTCAGTGGAGAGGGGTCGTTTGTGATCTCACAATACCTCCATACATCATTGTAAGTAGCTAGGGAAGGGGTCTTTTGTGAAGAATGTACCCCCCACCCCCACACACTCTCATATATCATATTCCCTCCAGTGGCCATGGGGAAACTAAACCTCCTCCCACTTTCATACCCCTCTCAGTGAGAATTAGTTATTTTGAAGCTAGGATTTGATACCCCTTAATCCTTCTATCATTGGTGGCATAACCCCTCACATAACCTATGTATATACCTCTCCATGGGGAGGGTTATATAGGATGTAACCCCCTCCACTGTTACCTGTCATTTGGACACTTCTTGATTTTCCTGTCAAATCTGTTCCAAGTACAACTTTTTGAATGATGTTTAAAAAATAATATCATTTTTCTTAAAAGTTAAAAATAAAAAATTGTCCATATTAATACAAAACAAAATCTTTTCACTGAAACAGAGCTTTTAGAAAGGAAACAAACTGATATTTAAGGTCCAAATTTGTTCAGTATTTATCTGCATTGTGCAAGCAGCTAGATGTTCACAAAGCAGGCCAAATATTCACCTAATTCCCTTAACTAAAGGGAAGTAATTCAATCCAAACTGGCTTGCAAAACCGAAAGTAGAACGGTATAATCTGCTATTTATAACAAAACGTTCCCTGCTTTTAAGTCTTCGTAGGGCAGTTTATATCGATTTGGCAGCTTTTGTGCTCTGAGACGATGTCTTTATCCGATCAGTCTAATTATAATTTATACCTATATGTGTACAATACTAATTAACCGGTGCTAATTACAACAGATTGTCTTTAGATTAACTATACGTATAGCATGTGACCCCGCCACCAATTTCCATTCACTCTTGTTCTATTTAAATCTCCATTAACTTTAAGTTTTTAAATCTCCATTAACTTTAAGTTATGATCATGCCTCTTACCTCAGACGGTTCAACAGACATGTGGCTTGTCGTTTCTCTGTGTCGTTAAAGCTACAGGAAACTGAAATGAATAAAGAAATGTTCAATTGTCATGTCTTTATTTGTACTGTATTTGGCGATGATATTAAATCAATGCTTCGTTACTTACACTGCTATTTATTTGCATGATCAATGTTAATTATTGTCTAACTTTATGATGAATTGTAACAATATTTGAAAACGTTCCACTTCAGCTCATATAAGCATCTCTACCAGACCACGGACTTAGATAACAGACAAACTCATTTACTGTTTATGACTAACGGTGTAGAAAGTAAATATGTTCGATCGGAGAATTAAAATTAGATTTACGGCATTTGAGTTGATCTAATGTGGGGACAATAGGATACATATTGATCTAACTTACCTCCTCTATTCGGTCAGCTGTATCACGTGCCGCTGTTTAAGTCGTTCACCCTTGACCTCTGAGATGTGCGGTGTACATTATCAAAATGTAAACAAGTCTCGTGATATTGTCCTCCCATATCTTGTTTGTACCCAACGTCACATCCGGACCGCGTGACACTAATTATAGTCTTACTGTCAATATTGTGTTTCCTTAATAGGCCTTAAATATTTACTTGAAAGTAGGTGCACCCGTATCCCAGTTTTCGACAGTTTTAACGTAATTAAAACATATACATTTTCTGATGTTGCACTAATATTAAGTCTTATATTTCACATGTAACTTATTTATCAATTTGTGATATTTACATATATATCTATATTGAAGATAAATCGAACGGTATTGGTATTCTCTATTAAAAAAAATGCATGATCTATATATGGTCATGTATGAGCTTTAAGTTAAAACTGTACCCGCCAAGTGCCATTTTGCCACTGAAATACTACAAATAGATATAAAGATAGATACAAGGTTATTATAACATATGGAAATATTATGATTATGAATATTATATAGATATATTGACCTTTTCGGGTTACGTTTTTTTCCATTCAGATGCAAAGAAAGTTTACCACGTAAGTGAAATTTAGGACTCTGTAATAAATGAAGGTTTAGATGAAAATGAGTATCTTTATGTTGAATTGTATTCACTTTTTGATTCTGAAATATTTGGACTAAAATGCCTCTTTTTAACATTTAAGAAGGTAAATGCAACACGTACAGTCTCGTTATAACGTATATTCCATGTGATGCGCAATATGCTTGAACCTAACGTTAATTTGTTGCATACCATTACAAAATTTAGGAAGATGCATTTCATCTCCTTATCTTTCCCTTAAAAAAATGAAGAACGTTTTACTTGGTCTTTCCTAGACTGTATGAGTGTGTTTGAAATATATATGTATTTATTTGGTTATTTTGCATTTTAAACAGCCTGTCTTACCAGACAATGGAACCCGGTCTATTCTGCGGGACCAACGTAGTATTTTCTTTGTAACCGTATACAGTTCCATCAGCCGAGAATTAACGTCAGACGGAAACCATACGAGCATTACCGGCGTAATTTAGATTTTAGCTCAATATTTTGGTTCCTGATAACGCTATAACGGTGTGACGGAAGGATAGTGTTTAATTAGAAAACATTCGTATACCATTAGTTTTTGGTGTTAATGAATTATATAAACATCCTTGGTTGGTAGTTTTATTTAAGGGCTATACAAAGAAAATATAATCTTTAAATAGCTTGCAAAACTACTGTCATATATAAGGAATTTATGATAATTCAATAAAAAATACTTTTTACAGTATTTGCCGTATTTTCACTTACACACGCACCCTATCCCGATATTTGTAACTATCATAACGATATCAAATAAAAATGTAACGGATGTATAACAACACTTTTGTGGGGTATTGTTATACAATTTGAAAAGTAAAAGTTCTGGGATGTTGTATGGTCCAAATATAAATTTATTAAAATAACTTTCTCTAGGTCGGTGGACGATTTCTGGAGTATCCAAAAACACACCCGTACAGTCCGATGCCTAGCTCCTAACTGCTGTTTCAAATCGTAATCGTGTCCAAGTACATTTACACAAAAGCAATTGAGTAATTAGTTTGAGTGACATCTGTCATTCATAGCAATCGGCCTTTCAGACTTTCCTTCTATATGTATCTATGCTATGTACAATGTTGTAATTGTGTACATCACACGCCATGTATCATACTTACTATATGTATGTGACCTCTTGTTACACACGTAAGTGTGTCGGAGTGAATAAATAAAAACTTAGGACTTAAACTTAGACTTCGGCCGTACCCGACCAGGTAAGCCAATTTAGCTGTCCTTTGTCGGAGACTGAATGCAGTGTCCGATCTGGTATGACAAGTTAATCCTGTTACGTAATATAATTAACTTTAAAGATATATGGTATAAGATGGACAAAGTAAATGCATGAGTTAATCTGACAACAATGACACATGTCGACTTTAAAGGAAAAGCTTCATAAATGGAACTGATCTAAATTGACACAAGTTCAGGAGAAAAAATTTACACATATAGTTCCAGGATATTAATTATATTTACGTCACACGATGGTATAGATTGAATGAAAGTTTATAGGTTAAAATACGCCAAATAACAAATATAATGATATATTAAATCAAAGTTCATATTTAGCACTTTTATCATAAAATTCTTTATGATAATTTCCCTCCGGCTCTGGTAAAGACGCGTCCCGCGGCTTTGTTTTAACGATAAAAACCGCGTCCGTAATTTCGGTTGTAATATCCGGATCCTCTACCGTAGTTCTGTTGGTTTACAAAAACCGGCGTTGGTGGCACTAGACTTAGTTGTTGTTTTAATTGACATATTTCATTTTTAAGTTTGTCATTTATATCCAGCATTAACTTGCTTTGCACACACAGTTCTTCTGCACCTTGTAATTTATGTGTCAAATCTGCAATTTCTCCTTTTTGTTGGATGATCACTTCGTACAGACTGTTTTTGTGTGCATTGTCTTCGTTGACAGAAGTTAGTGCTACGCTTAGCTTTTTGTTGCTATCTGCTAGTTTTTCTTTCAATGTTGAATTTTCTGTTCTCAACAGCGTTGCTTGTTCCATGGTTATAAGGCACGTGTCACAGTCATTGGATTTTGATAGTAAAAGATTGTGGTCACTTTGTAATTGGTCACGCTGACTTGATAAGTCCGAAACTTTCTGTTTAAGTTTTAAAATTAAATTACATTCTGTTGATGTGGGAACACATGGTTTTGGTATCTCACTGTCAGGAATTGACGAAAATGGTAGCATACCTTGCAGATGTTTTCTTTCCTTGTACAGTGTCATTCTTTCATTGTCTCTCCTCCTTTTGGCGCGGGATTTGGACTTACTTTTGTTGCTCTGTTTCTCTGTTTGTCGCGATGTCACTGAAAGGTTTGTTAAGGGGGTGAGGCTATGGTTGTGAATTCTGGCGTTGGTGCCGTTATGAATCTGGGCGTCTGTGCCGTTGTCGATTCTTCTAGTATTGGGTAAGGGGGTGCTCGGTGACATCAAGGGTTGACGGAAGTTTCGTCGTCGGTAATCCTTTAAGAAACAGAGTCCAGAAAAGTGTCCATTTTTTCCACACTTAAAACACTGGGCTGATATTGCGGGGCATGTTCTAAGATGGCCGTTGTGAAACGTTAAGCCGCATCGGGTGCAATGTCTGTCGGTTTGCAATTCCCAGTTGTTTCGTCCAGTTCCGGTGTTATTCCAGAAACGTTGAGGAGTCTGATGAGATGAGTTGACGGCTCTCTGTTGAAACATGGTCGATCTTATCCACGTTAGTCTTGATGGTTGTAGGTGTGGGGAAATCTCGCTTGGCAGTGAAGGTTCGGTATCTTGTACGTAAATTGACTTACACAAATGAATGAGGCAAATTACTCCGGATTATTCCACCAATTATAACAACACTTTTGTGGGGTATTGTTATACAATTTGAAAAGTAAAAGTTCTGGAGATGTTGTATGGTCCAAATATAAATTTATTAAAATAACTTTCTCTAGGTCGGTGGATGATTTCTGGAGTATCCAAAAACACACCCGTACAGTCCGATGCCTAGCTCCTAACTGAAGTTACAAATCATAATCGTGTCCTAAGTACATTTACACAAAAGCAATTAAGCGTCATTCATAGCAATCGGCCTTTCAGACTTCGGCCGTACCCGACCAGGTAAGCCAATTTAGCTGTCCTTTGTCTGAGACTGAATGCAGTGTCCGATCTGGTATGACCAGTTAATCCTGTTACGTAATATAATTAAGTTGAAAGATATATGGTATAAGATGGACAAAGTAAATGCATGAGTTAATCTGACAACAATGACACATGTCGACTTTAAAGGAAAAGCTTCATAAATAGAACTTATCTAAATTGACACAAGTTCAGGAGAAACAATTTACACATATAGTTCCAGGATATTAATTATATTTATGTCACACGAT